CCCATGGACAGAGGAGCCTGGTGGGCTACAGTCCATGGGGTCACAAAGAGTTGGACGCAACTTAGTGACTAACACACACTGTTTTATTGCTTTGTAATTCTTAACATTCCCACAATTCCTAAAATATATTTAGAGAGAAAACTCCTGGTCATTTGAGAGGCAAATATTTTCCCCAGCTTACCAGTCTCCTTTAGAATTTCTCCAGAGTTTTTCTTTTGTTTTGGCTTGCTTTTTGCCAACCAAATGATTTCTTTTAATGAGTCAGAGTTACCTTTTCTCTCTCTTAGTTGCTGGAATTGAGCAATAGAAAATGTTCAGCTAGATTACATTTTGCTTTTTAAGTATTAAGTCATTTACAAATAACAGCTTTACTTATACTTTTCTAAATTTCATACCTCAAATTCCTTTGCCTTTTTTGGTTTTGTTAACTAATATCTCTGGTACATCACTAACAGGGGTGAGAGGTAAACACAATTATCTTGCTTGTTTTTGAGTAGAAACAACAGAAGTACCTCTAGCATTTAGCCATTATTGACAATGTCACTGGACTGAGTCTGTGTATGTGTATGTGCGAACATACAGTTTATTGTTTTGTCATGGTTATAAAATGTTTGACTCTTTCTTTAATGAGGTGTCTCTCTTGTTTAAAACATCCAGAATGCTTGCTAAATTTTATCAAATGAGTAGAAATTAACATATGATTTTTCCCTTAGATCAACTATTATGATGAAATATTTAAATAGACTTCATAATCTTTCATCCCTGGAATGAAATTTACTTCATCAAGAATACATAATTCCTTTGATGAGCTGCAAATAATTTTCTGAAGAGTTTTTCATTGATACTCATAAATAAAATTGAAAACAGTTTTCATCTTGTGAAATTTTGAGCATGTTTAGGTGTCAATGATAATCTCCCTTCATTAAAACAAGCTGAGTTTATATTCCTCTGGAAGGGTTTAACTCACACTGAAGTACTCTCTTCTTTTAAAAAATCATTAGATAGGGTGTAATATACAAATGATGCATACTGTAATATCTAGGTAATAATTAATATCTTAAGCTACAATTTTTGAAGATACATTTAATGTTTAAGGGAAAAATAAAGAGTGAAATAATATTAATTAATAAATTAGTAAAGGAATCCATAAAATCCATTAATCCATATAAAGTCAAGAAAGGAAGGATAAAACTACATAAAGAGATGAGTCAAGTGGAAACAAATAGTAGGCTGGTGGATACGAATCTAACTATATCAGTAATTATATTAAATAAAAATGGACTAAATACTCTATGTAAAAGACTAGGATTGCCACATTAGGTTAAAAACAAAAATGTAAGACACAGCTACCTCTTGTTACAGGATGTACACCTATAGTATAAGGACAATGTCAGGGTGAAATGGAGGGGAAAACATGTATCATGCAAACACTGAAAAAAAATAAGCTGGGGCAGCTCTACTAATTTTGGATAAAGCAGACTTGAAGGCCAGTCACTTACTAGAAAGATAGGCGGGCATTTCATACCCAGTAAAAGGTCCATCCACCAGGGGTATATCATGATAAAAAATGCAGCCTCCTAAAAATTAGAGCTTTAAAGTTTATAAAGCAAAGCTAGTAGAACTAGAGAAAAGAGAAAAAGGCAAATTCACCATCATCTGGGTGACTTTAAAATATCTCTCTCAAAAGTTAAGAGAACAACAGAGAAAGAAAATTCATCAATGATAGAGTAGGCCTGAAAAAAAAAAAACAAAAAAACTTGATCTACCTGACATGTATGATGCACTGTATCTCAAAATGGAAAAATTCACTCTTCTACTTTTGGAATATTTGCCAAAGCTGACCATGTGCTGGACCACAAAGCAAGTCATTACATTTAAGGAACTAAAATTATTCAGTGTTTATTATCTGATAGAATTCTGGCTGTGAAATCAATAATAAACTCTTAGTTTATTTTCTCAATTCTCAATTGTGTGAAAAATAAACAATAGACTTCTTAAAGAACTCACGAATCCAAAGAAATTCCAACAGAATTCAAGCAAATAAAAAAGATGTGACATCACCATTAGGCACAGAAAAAGGATTCTAGTAAATACTGCACTTCCAAGAAGGCAAGAGAAACTAAAAATGGGAAAGCAGCCGGACAGGAAACCCCTAGGAGGAATTACAAGAATTACAAATGCCCAGCCAGGCTGGCCATTCTCAAGTGCCCAGAGCTACAGAAACAGCACCTTTGCGGTCAACCCCAGGCAGAGGAAGGGGCAAGATTTGCAAGAATGTGTTAGTAACTCCTACATCCCACCGGGCAAAGATTAGCCAGACAGCCTGTGGACCTGCCCACATTTCCACCAGAAGGAAACCCCAGGCAGGAAATCCAGGATATGATGCGGTACCCGACCCCACCTGTCCCTGAGGGGCACGGCCACTTTGCACCAATGCATTTCCCTCCTTTTTGAAAAATGTGCTTTCTGAGATCTGCCACTCATGGGGACAAAGAACCTTTCTCCATTTCTCCCGGCAACGACTCCCTGCTCAAGCTCAGTCCCCATACAGAACTGGGCTCTTTCTTTCCCGTTGGTGATTGCAGACAAATGTCATCACAGGGCCCCCCCTTAGCTCCATTTCTCTCAGTCCCGCAACAGAACTTCCTATGCAAATGCCACCGGCCTCAGGTGCTTTAGTCTACAGCCCATGGGTTTGGATTTTACAGATTTTCACTTCAGATTTTACAGCTTTTTCACTATCTCTGAGTTTTGCTTTAGACTTAGCTTGTGAGTCTTTCCCCAGACCCCTTCTATTAATACATGATTTCCAAGATGAGAATTACATTTGGTCCAATCCACTGCTCATCATGGAGCCAGGAAAGATTGCTTTAAAACTGTTAAATGTCAGCATTGAGGAGAATGTAGTGTCACCAAGACTCACAATGGGATGATGAAGACATAAATCTGTACATATTTTCTGGAATATGTCTTGCATACCATTTAATTTCAAAAATCTGGTCAGAGATTTATTAAAAAATATACTTGCTGAAGTTTTCTTTTAATAACCACAAATTAATGACATTATAATAGGTTATGATACATTTAAATTGAAGTAGTATATACACATGAAAATAGTATCAACTTATGTAATATCACAAGAAAATGTCACAGTTTGCTGTTAGACAAAAGTACAAGGCAAATTTTCAATATTTTTTATATCAACCATGTAGAAAAAATAGCCCTGGAAAGAATCATGTAATAATCTGCCTCTTATTTATTGCATTACTGGTAATGTTTTTCTCACTTTATACCTTTCTGTACTCTTCACACTCTTATGATAGTGAGCATGTTATTTTGATAATCAGAAAGATAACAATAAAACAAAAATCTTGAGACGCTCGCCCACAGATAAGAACCGCTATTGCAGGCCTCCACAAACCATCAAAAGAGTTGTTTTTAAGGACCCCAAAGGAAGCTGCTCTGTATTTTTATTAAGAATCCCTAAACTCAAGAAACCACCTGCTCAAAAACTAGGAATAAAAAATTCCAATAAACAGAAAGTACTTTTGTTATGACTTCAAAACAACTGAGGGGACATTCCTGCTTAATTTCTTGCATATTTCAAGTATGATTTCACTTAATGAAAATTCCCCTGGTTTTTGCCCCAGAATTGATCATAATGGAGTTTTTTAAATAACATGTTTATTCATTTTCATAAACAGTGGCAATTTAGAGCTATGTTGCCATGACAAAAATGTCCCAAGTTCTATTCCTCAACATCCAAAGGGCTCTCCAACTTCTTCTTTGAGCCTTCAGTGGTAGCAACACATAAAATGTTTATCTCTAAGACTGTCAGTAAGTTGTTTCTCAAGTTTAGGGAATTCTTAATAAAAATTCTATGAAACAGAGCAGTTTCAAAGAAACACATGAAGTTAGAAGATATGTCTTACTTTGTAGGTAATTATAAACAAAGGACATTTTCTTCATTCTTTTTCTTTCAATTTATATTCACTTTATTATCTTAGTAGGCCAGAAATGATTGCATAAGAAATGAATTACTTTTTTCCTCTTAGGATTCTTGTAAAAGGTTTCACTTTTCATAAACTGCTGTATTTACTCTATTGCATATTCTGATCTAAACACATGGTACTAGAATTTTTCTAACAGAGTTATATATTATAACTGAAAGTAAAATTAAACACAAGTGTTCACTTTATCAAAAAGAAGCTATTTCCTTGGGTTTCCATTTCTGTGACTTTATTTTGTTTAGTTCTTGAGACTACTTGATTTTACATTGCTCTTACTTTTCAAAAGTTTCAAACAGTCATTCTAGACTTCTAATCTATATTATTCTCTGATCTCCTTACCTTTGTAAAATCATTCAGAGACTGGATCGCTGCATTACCTTTATTATCTAATTCTAAGTACACTAGTTTCTTTAAACTTGACTTAATGACAGCAAAAAGTGAGAGGCACAATTTCTTCAACTAATATGCCAAGGGTTGGCAAGCTGACCCACAGGCCAAATTTCACTTGCCATTTGTTTTGGTTAATAAAGTTTTGTTAGGATAAAGCCATGCCCATCTATGTCTATACTTTCCCAATACTTTCAGTATACAGGGGTAGAGTTGAGTAGTTGCAGTGGACATCATTTGGCTGGAAAAGCCTAAAATATTTACTATCTGGCTTTTTTTCAGAAGACAATTTGCCTACCTCTGTTATGTTATTTGTCCTGTTATAATGTTCTCTGTCCTCAGAAAATGCTTTCAACCTTCTATGACAAATGGCATTTTAGTTTTTACTAAGATGCTCACTTCTTAAAAATCTCAGGTACATATATAATATCTCTCAGTTTGCCACATCATCATTATTGTTAATTACATTATTACATAAACGGGTCTGTACTGTATGATGTAATTCTTAAAACCTTACTTACATGACCTCCTATATGCTGGCTATCTGCTAACGTTGACTTCTTGACTTCCTGTGACATCACCAACATGGCACATGATGAGACATTATTTTGAAGAGCCACGTGACCATATGTAGGAATGGATTCTGTAGGAGTCAAAGGCAGGATAAAGAGATTAAAAATTATGTACTGAATAATCTTCCCTTCCTTAAATTTATAATTACTTCTGCATCTGATGATGCTGGAAAAGACAGGAAGACTCATATGGAGAGGGCTTCAGAAGACAATAGGAACTTTTTAAAATTAATTGTCCCTAAAATCTTCAGTCTTTCTCATAATTTAACTCACATCCATGTTGAATACAGCCGCTTTATTTGGGGAAAAAATAATCATACATTATTTAAAAAGAGGATTTTTTCACTTTTGCCCTGGAGGATTTTTTTACGCTTGCCGTGGAACTGGTGATGAGAACCAAATACTGGGGGATAAAGAAGCATTAAGCTGCCCTACATTCTAAGGAGAGTTTTGTAGCTATGTCTAGACACCTACTCCAGGGAGAATTCAGGGGCAGGCAAACCCTTAACTCTACTTCTCCTACCTCAAAACCATCAACTCCACCCCAAGACCCCATGACTGGTCCATATACAGAAGACTAAAATACTAGCATGGGAAGTGAGAGGCAATGATGGGAATCACCAGTCAGCAACATGACAGGAAGTACACGGGACTATACACAAGAGACACTGTGTTATAAACTAAACACAAAAGACACTGGGTCTCACCAGAATTCCTGTGTTGAGGCCTTAGCCCCCATTGTAATGCTATTTGGAGATGGGCTTTGGAAGGTGACTAGGGTTAAATGAGGTTATAAGGGTGGGACCCTCATGATGGGATTAATGTGGAGTTATGAGAAATGGTATTAGAGCACTGGTTTCCTTCCTCTCTCTCTACACCTCATGAGGACACAGCAAGAAGGCAGCCATCTGCAAGCCAGGAAGGGAGGCCTCCCCCAGAGAACTCAATCGGCCGGCATCTTGATCTTGTGCTGTACCCCCAGGGGAGGGATCTGAAAGGGCAGGAATAGCCCAATTCTGGAACCTCCCACACAGAACGTATCAATAATCTGTTCCTGTTAGCCAGGAAGGGAAGCAACAGCTAACAGAGAATAGCCTAGTTAAGTCAGGAGCCATCTGGTATGTCTGACCTTCACCACCCTCTAGGCCCTCAACTTCCAGCGCTTAAAACCAGAAGGAGGTTAGAAAGCATGAAGATGTGGACCACACCCTCTTCCCTCGACTGGTCCCATAGGCATAACTTGAGCTGAGTGAACATCTGGAGATGAGACTGGAATTTTAAACGGACTAGACAAATCAATAATCGGAAGTGACCAAAATGCTACCTGATCTGACAATTTTGTGAAAGGATAATTACAAATGGATTATGAAAGAAGTTGTACCTGAAACACTGAAGAGTCAGCATACCTAGGTCTTTGATACCATGTGTTATGAAGGAAAAAGGAAGAGGCAATGACTGTTCAAAACCAGTAACTCATTTTGGATCACTTTAAGGCAAATTCCTATTCTATCATTTCTCCCACTCTCTAGAAGTGACTATAAAAGTTTATTCCCTTTCAAATTCCCTTTTTAACAATCTTTCACCTAATCCTTTACTATTATATAACAATAAGAATAACAAGAATGCTTATGAAGATTTTTGTTGAAAGAAAAAAAGATTTTTGAGAAAAATGTTTATTCAACTTAAAAGTTGATCTTAAGACACAGTCATTAACAAAACCTTTATCTCCCTCTTATTTTTGCTTTCTCCTCTGCATCATGCTTATACAACAGCCAACTCCTTAGTCCTGGTTTTTCTTCCTACTTCTATTATCTGTATGCAGGTCAGGAAGCAACAGTTAGAACTGGACATGGAACAACAGACTGGTTCCAAATAGGAAAAGGAGTACGTGAAAGCTGTATATTGTCACCCTGCTTATTTCACTCATATGCAGAGTACCTCATGATATAGATGAAGCACAAGCTGGAATCAAGACTCCCAGAAGAAATATCAGATATGCAGATGACACCACATTTATGGCAGAAAGTGAAGAAGAACTAAAGAGCCTCTTGATGAAAGTGAAAGAGGAGAGTGAAAAAGGTGGCTTAAAGCTCAACATTCAGAAAACTAAGATCATGGCATCTGGTCCCATCAGTTCATATTGCCACAGATGGGGAAACAGTAGAAACAGTGATAGACTTTATTTTGGGGGGGGCTCCAAAATCACTGCAGATGGTGACTGCAGCCATGAAATTAAAAGATGCTTACTCCTTGGAAGGAAAGTTATGACAAACTTAGATAGCATATTAAAAAGCAGAGATATTACTTTGCCAACAAAGGTCCATCTAGTCAAGGCTATGGTTTTTCCAGTAGTCATATATCGATGTGAGAGTTAGACTATAAAGAAAGCTGAGTGCTGAAGAATTGATGCTTTTGAACTGTGGTGTTGGAGAAGACTCTTGAGAGTCCCTTGGACTGCAAGGAGATCCAACCAGTCCATCGTAAAGGAGATCAGTCCTGGGTGTTCATTGGAAGGACTGATGCTGAAGCTGAAACTCCAATACTTTGGCCACCTGATGCGAAGAACTGACTCATTCGAAAAGACCCTGATGCTGGGAAAGATTGAGGGCAGGTGGAGAAGGGGACGACAGAGAATGAGATGGTTGGATGGCATCACCAACTCAACGGACATGAGTTTGGGTAGACTCCAGGAGTTGGCAATGGACAGGGAACCTGGCATGTTGTAGTCCATGGGGTCGCAAAGAGTCAGACACGACTGAGCGACTGAATTGAACTGAATTGAACTCTGTTATCTCAGAAGAACTTATTCTTTGAGATTTTTCTTGGATATTTTCCCATCCACTCTACAAACATTCATCAACTTGATCAGGAATGCCTAAGAGAGATGTCTTCCTTTGGCATTTTCCCTCTGCAACCGAGAAATAAGCTTCCTGGATAGGCACACAACTGAGAATTCCACAGGATGCATGAGAATGAAATCAACAAATATGCTGAGAGGCACAGGATGAGCACTCAGACCCATCTGATTCTCAAAAGGAAGGACCCTGAGAGTTGCTATGACTTTTTGGCTACCCCCTGGGCTTCCCAGGTAGCACTAGTGGTAAAGGACCAACCTACCAATGCAAGAGACATAAGAGACGTGGGTTTGATCCCTGGGTCAGGAAGATTCCCCTAAAGAAGTCAATGGCAACCCACTCCAGTATTCTTGCCAGGAGAATCCCATGGACAGAGAAGCCTGGTGGGCTACAGTCCACAGGGTTGCAAAGAGTTGGACACAACTGAAGCAACTTCACACACATGTATGTGTAAGTTTCAAAAGAGAGGATGAATAAGAGCACCTACACCTCTGATTTAAAGCTAGATAGATCCCTGCCTTTCATGTCCTCTGTTGCCTAATCTTTCAATTATTAGCAACAAGGGCTAATGTTTCTAGAAAATAGGAGGCAAGCTTCTTCAGGAAATACCTAAGAAGGGGTAATGAAAATATTTAAAACCAAATTCAACTCATCTCTGCTGCCATTTGCCGCAACAACTTGCCTCAACTAATGCAACACACTCTTGAAAATGCCATAACAATGCATGTCCTCTGACCGATCCAGATCACTGGCTTCTCTGTGGCCAAATGCATGTTTGGGAAAAATTTTTGTCTCTTACTTTGGACTTCAATTTGTACACACTGAAATGGAATAGAATCAAAGAGTGTTTTATACTCCAAACAACTTCCATCCAGGCACCCGTATTTCAAAGAGGATAAATGGTTCCCAAAGGAAAGGCCTTCCTCTCACCAGCAAAGCCATCTAAGGATTGTTATGCCTTCCCATAAAAGGTACAAAGATGCTTGGCAGAACTGTAGTGAACATGGAGGCACTCCCTAGCTGAGAGCTCAGAGCTGAGTCTCTGCAGAGATGCCCTCAGTGGTCCCCTCCCTGGAGACCTGGCCTCCTTTCCTGGAGTTGGAGCACTCCTAAAGGGTCATCGAGCTTCAGAGAACTCCTTTTGGGATTGATTGGCTGAGGTCTTTGCTTCCAACTGCACCGCAGTTCAACTTGTCCTTCTACCCACTTACTTCCATCCCCCTCATTTCCATCGGGTGTTCCTGAGGAGATGCCCCATGAGACTCTTGCATGTACAATTCTGTCTCAGAGTCTGTTTCCCAGGGAAGCCAGTCTACAAAAAGATTATATTCTCTTAGCTGAGAAAATGTATGGCTGAGAAACACTTGGATCAACCCTACAGAGATTGGGGTGGGGGAGATCTTTAATTTGACAATGTGCACTGTGAATCTTCAATAAATATTCAGAAGTTATTTAACCACAGAACCCTCTTCTTATATTGAACATCTGAGATCTGTACTCTATGGAATATGCTCTGGTAAACATGAATGCAGTTCACTCTAGCTCACATGAGAATATAATTGGTAAAGTTCCTCATATCAATCCCTCCTGTAATGGCAAAAGAATGTAAATAACAATGGGGGAATGATAAAGAAAACAACAGAGGAATGTTGATATAAATTATGACATTTCATGAAATATTATGAATCCATGGAAAGAAATAAGAAATTCTTTAAGTCCTAGAATGAAAAAGTATCCAAAGTATATATTTTTAGTCCAAACAGCAAGGTTAGGTGACTGTGTGTACTTGTTCTAAAAAAAGGGAAGGATTAAATATATGTGTACATTTTCTTCTGCATGCATAAAATATTTGTAAAGGCATACATTAGAAAATGATAGCACTAGTTGTTTCTATAGAAGAAAATTAAAAGCACTTTGACATTTTAATTTTAAACTATGGAAATAGATGATCTCTTCAAACAATTAAACTATTAAAAATTAAAAGCAAAATACTGCAAAATATTAGGCAGCAGATATTTAAATACTTTGTCTAATCATATATGAAGAAACTCTGGAAAATGTATAACATCCTCTACAAAATTACTTGTACTGTGAGCTCCTTAAAGACAGGAATCATATTTTATTCATTTATTCATAATTCCCAAAGCCCAGTGGAGTGTCTGAACCAGAGGAGATGGTAGATCATTTGTCTGCTTTTTAATTGAATCCTACTGCCT